CTAGGCTAGTGTTTTAGAAGACTTGTAAGGACAAAGTAATTTTGGATTAAACAGTCAATGGTATTGTGGTGAATCCACTTTTACGGAGAGAACGCGATTGGTTTGATAGATACATCCGTTAATATGACCAATTGTAACAGTGATTGGTTTACTGTACCTCTTTGTTCATTACCTCTCTGTACGCGCAAACTTTCTGTTTTCATTGCTATCATTTTGGCTTCACTGTATCGAAAGGATACCTGAAATCGTGCCAGAAAAGAGAAGCGAAACTAGTGCATAGTTCTTACACTAACGCTATGTACACAGGTGCCCAAGTTTCTGTTGTATCGTCTGGTAGCAGCAAATCTCAAGCTACAACGCTTCGACTACGCGCTGAGAATGGCTCTGTCATTCCTACATACGGTACACAACAGCTAACCGTCAACCTGAATAATCGATGACAGTAGATGTGGACCTTCGTCACTGCTGATCTTCCTATAGCCTTATTCAGTGTCGATTCTCTACAGCTCTATGAATTGCTGTTTGATTCATGTGGACTGCAGTTAATCGATACTTCGCCGGATATTAAATCCAAGAGTCTTCTTCAAGGGCTTCAGCAAATGTAGACCGAATCACTGGTGTATTTTTTTGTATGAATATTTATTTCATGTTATATTTGGTAACTTCTCCCAAGTAGTTAAACCAAGGTGATTCAACCGGTGAATAATTACGTGGTAAGTCACATCGTCACCCACGGAACCTCATTCACAACAAAACCTCCCCGACTGGTAGTGGACAGATTAATTTTCAATAAGCGTCAGTTTGACTTGCTATACTTACTGTTTTGTCTATGTCACAGTCCTTACGCCTCCCTTTTCCACTCGGTTTTCAAAAAATGGAACTATTTAGAGACAGTGCGGCGATTACGGAGCAGTGAAAGCAGATATTCAACTTTCCGCTTCTGAACTTGTATATGTCATGACATTGCATCTGCCTGCGGGATTTTTCACACCACGGAGCAGCAATTTTATATGTATCAAATAACGTCCAATGACTATCTGCGTACATGCGAACATAGCGTCCGGTGTCAACTCGAATATAGCATCGGTAGGTCGCTCTTCCTCGAGAGTCACTTACCTGTCCATACGCTTCCATATGAGTAGATTCGGTATGTAAACCTTCGCAACAGCCTTACGAAAGATCTTTTCACATGATCTTTCCTCACGATAGGACCTTGAAGGTTGATGGACACAGTGAGCATTGATCATCTCCAACCAGCACATGCCAATGACAGTGCCTTACCCGATACACCGAGATTCAATGCTATACCCATTCAACTCACAAGCGGGATCCTTATTTCTCCTTCGTATCCCATGTTAGATACATCAGAGACCTTATTCTCACGTCCCAGTGGACAGCACCTGTCATCTGCACTATCATCGTATGAAGCTTCAGTCTCACGTCCAGACCTGCAGATCACGCCTCCCTTGACTTCGGATGAGATTGCAGTCTTACGTTCCCGATTACGAGGTACGAACGGGACTACTGTCTAACGTTTCGGTCGTCACATACGTTTATCTGTACGCTTTCGCGACTATCCCCAGTAAGCAACATTTAGGGTTTAGGATTATACCCCTTGTTTCATGCTTGCTACACTTTTGTCCTTTTTCTTTGTTTTCATCCTGATCCCACGCCTCCGACCATCGACCTGCTTGTACCGTCGACTTCAGTGGATCTTGGTGACTGATTGGATTGATCGCCTACGCTCTTGTCAATGCACTCAGTCGATGTTTTGTTTCCAAGTATGTCTGGCATATGTATAGGCTCGAACGCGGTTGTAATAGTCGCTTCTGGTTTCTTGGCTCAAAATGGTTCCGTCCTACGTCTGCAGCATTGTCTGATCTGAACCCCTACCAACGCAAGCTTCAGATTATGGATACAAACCAATGTTCTGTGGTACGCCAACTCCAACAGCGAACATGGCACGTTAATCCTGGCACCATTCTTCGTAAAAGACTTCAGTGACAACTCGAGCATCATGGATTACCTCCTGTTCGTCAACCCTTCCGTCCTACAATCGCGTGTTTTGCCGATCACGCTCACTAACAAAGCCGCTACGCACTGAAAGTGTAAACAATATCTAGCGGATGACTTGCATAGTGGATCTTTTTTTATGAAGAGAACGTGATTGGTTTGATAGAGACATTTATTATTATGACCAACTTTACTAGTGATCGCTTCACTGTACTCTTTGTCTATTCCTTCTCTGTACGCGCAAACTTGCTGTTTGTGTTGCTACCGTTTTTGGTTACACTACTCACAGTAACTTCACCCTTTTTTCTCTATCACGATTTTGGTATTCCTTCGAAACCACGAAATCGACAGCAAATATATTTCTTTGTATGGACTAATTATTCTTCCTGTCCATGAATCTCGGAGATATTACATTTAGTGATGGAAACGTTATTGATCTGTAGTGGTGATCTTAGTCAACCTCAACACATTACAAACTCAACACACAAACCGAAGACTGCCTCATCCACTCCAGCCAAGGATAGTTAATAGGAGCAGTATATGAGAATAGGTGTTAACACTGTGCATTTCGAGCTTGTTATATCGAAAAATTGGATTAAATACGTTAGCCAAAATTTTGATTTTCTTAAATGTTCTTACGCTAGCACAATTGATTTTACAGGATAAACCCTAGCCGAAGGGTCTCGGTTATGCATTTGCACCAGATCAACGTTCTGAACACCGTGAAACGTACTTCTTCACATTAATTAGCAAGCTTAGTTCACTCGGTCCTTGAAATTCCAACCATCATTCAAATATGCCTTCGACCCTCTTCGTTCCTGACCTATCGTTTCACATTGCCTTGGGTATTCTGAAAGGTGCTACGGACAACAGCCTTCTCCATGTGTGAATATCCTTGACAACCTCAAGTAGGACTATCAATCGATGAACACTGGGGTTATATAAGAAACAAAATAAACAAGGCCATTCAAGAAAATTTATCACCGGAAATCAAAAATGCCGGTAGTAGTGGTTTTGGGGAATGATTTGGAGCCTCAAGCGTATAGAAATGCCTGTAACAGATGTAGACGTCACTGTAAGACTCCTACTACGACTTCCACTAATGAACGGGTACAACCTGAATTTGAGGAAGAAGAGGAGATATTTTAAAGCAAACATATATGTGAAGCTCTAGTCAAACAGAACAACTCTATCAAAATAAAAATATGAATGGGAGAGCCTATGCTGTCACAGAAAAGTGCGAGATCTGACGATGGTGTATAACATACTCGGCACTCGTATTAACCAACATCATATCGGTATACTTTAACCTTAATTTTAAACTTGCCGAGAGAACTCATGAAGCATTGCGCATCGAAGACCCACTATCTAGGTGAGATCATACTTTCACCGTGAGTTGTCCGCATCCGGACTTCCCCTCTAGTTGGCGTGATCAAATCCATTTCGATGTATAGCTTCAAGAGAAAAATTGATAACTTCGCATTAACCATTAACTAGCTATTCTTGGATTTGAAAATTATTACTCAATATAAGTTTTTTTTAACTGATCATAGGTTCCACTTTTATTCCTATTATTATCATACCAGCTATTATTGCCGTCATTAGACCATAAATACCTTACTACGACACCGAGGTCTAACTGTCATCCTTGGAAACGCATCTGTTCATATAATCTATCCTGATCATTCATTTACTTTAAAACAGTTAGTCCCTTTTCAGATCAGTGACGTCTTCTCACTGTTCTATCAATATTCATTTGCTCATTGTAACCTTTGCTGTTCTTCACCCCTCAACATCTTGATTTTAAAATCTGTTCTGCTGCAACCGACTATTGGTAATGTTCGGAAGTACTGATTTTAACGTCCCACTTATCAAGAATGAATTCACTCGCTTACGCCCAATAAATAGTAACCATTAGTTAAACATGAAATTCACCAGGATTAGTGCAGCCAAACGTCAAGAAGCGTAGGCATAGAAATCGAACGATGTATAAAATTAGACTACCACATATTGAAAGTTAGCGGACTCGGCACTATACACTAACAACGAGAATTGAGCTCAAATAAATCGGACGGGTTCAGATATGCTGATCAAAAAGATATTAGATATTGAATACTTTTAACATACGCACGGCCAAACCTTGAGGTCAACAACGTCGCTTCAACCACTATCCTTGAAAGAGACATAAATCTCTTGGATCAAGTGCAGAGGTGAGCTAAGAAATGGATGATAAGGTTGAAGAATAAAACTCACGAAGATAGACTCCTGCACTTGTAATTATCCCCTCACAAGTGATCCAAATATGGTTAACAACATATTAAGCATGCCAAACTATCCCAGTGTGAACATCTTACCTATGCATCACAACCACTCCACTCGAAATAACCCTTAAAAAACCGCGCATCAAAGAGTGAACATTCAGGTTCGTGCATAGTTTTCTCATTAAGAGTTGTTGCAACTTGGAATACTATCTCAGTCACAGTGACCATAACTTCCTCAGTGGATAGCTTCAAGAAGAGACTTGATAAACAAGTTTTCACAAACGGTTTATCATCATCAGTTCTGCCTGATGCATGTCTTGAGACCGGCAGTTGTTATTAATGCCATCTCATTAGATCGCTAACTTATTCTATCTCGCCTATTACCTCTGTTTCCTCTCCCTTGCTTACACTTCGGTCATCTCGCACAATCTTCACTACCAATTAATAATCTCAATCATCCATTTATTTACTTAGTTTTGAAATCTTATTAGCATTAGAATTTTCTCCTTATTATTCCCCACATTACAGCTAACTGACTTCCAGCCTGGTAACTTGATAGCTGCTGGTATCCAGAAACCCTACTGCCCTGTGACAAAAGCAGTCCATCAATTCAAGTGTCACAAATTCACAAACAACTGCCAACTGACTGGAATTAATGTAGTCGTGTGGCCAGACTACCTCCTGTTAGACAATACCAAGTACTTGGAACGTACTGAAAGATCAACAAACGAGCGCAAATAAACCAATAGGTTAATATTAGCCCGTGATAAACATAGTGGATTAGATATTGGATATTGGATTTTGAATAGGCGCTTGTTATGTCACTAATGCAACTAACGGTGAAACCTCTTACGCGAGCTGAAAAAGTTATCCAGGTATGTTTCAAACCAACTCTATGACTTTCTCTTCGTAGGTAGATGATGGGGCATACGTTTCTGATCTATTAGCTGCAGTGAAATGTGCCTTTGATATAGATCCTGAGTATCAGCGTTTGGTCTTTAAAGGATGCCCTTTGTTAGGTAATGTTAGCTGATAATTTCTATATAGTGTCTTAGACAAAGACAAGCCCCTCCTGAATTATGAAATAAAGGATGGTGATCGGCTTACTCTGCTCACGAAAAGTTCGCATCGCAGTGATTTTGAGTCACTTTTGCGTAAGTATTTGGCTGAGAAACTCCCTGAAGTCAATTCGGATATTGTCGTCCCGAAATTTCTTCAGGTAAGTTTATTGATGCGAATCTTTCTTCTTATAATGTTGGAATGTGCTCCCGAATCACAAACTTTAGTACCAATCTCGGTGTAGAGCACTGGTGCACGCACTGGCGTGTTACCTCGACAGACACCGAATATTACGGTGCCGGCACACTAAACCGTTAGCGACTGGGTTAGTGCTTGCCTCGTGCACAACACTCTTTAAGAATCGATCACAAAGAAATCAATTGGCTTAAACTAGTTCGTGAAAAACATTGGATATTGAAATGTAAACGTTCGTCTTACATTTAGCTCATTCAACCTTCCTTGATTATTCAAATGATTTCCATTCGACTCTACTATTAGTTCTAATATTTTCCTTCTGTTAGAATTTTGTCAAAACATTACTTTGGCTAATTCAGTACATGGCTTTGTGAACTATTGTGACTGTTAACCAGTCATTTGGAATACAGTATTGCGTTCGCTCTACTGACGCAGTACTACTGTAACAAAGATAACCTTTACCGTCTCTTGTATTTTATTCGAAGCTATGTGGTTACAATTGAGCAAACCAAACAGTAATGGTTTTCACATCATGCTACGGTCGTTGCGTTTGTCAAGGTTTGTAAGTATTGAATCCTTGTTACATGTTTGATACTCATTAATCCTGATGAAGCGTTTCGATACTAGATTGTTCATAAGTAACGATCCTTTAGTTTAATGTTGCAGAAATATGGATAGTATGTACTAAGGAATTGTAGATGATGTAAGGTCAATTATCGCAAACCAACTCTCCTCCTTTAGGTCCTTGTAAGACGATCACAAACACGATATGTTAAAGACGCGATGTTTAGTAAAATTCAGTTTTCTCTCTTGTATTGGAGTTCATCAGTATACATTAACTATATTCATCCAATTTCATTTACAACCTTTTTTTGTAGGTACTGTCTGCTAAATTAAACTCCATGAGTCTCAGTGACATCGAACATTTGGCAAGTGTGTGGCCTCAACCTGGATAAAGTAGACTTCAGAAAGTGTTGACATCTTGTATTCATAGATTTCCTCTATCTCCATCCAGCTAAACCTGAAATTTGTACAACGCACATCGATTTTTTATATACCTAAGCGATCTTTGTATAAATCCTAAATTTTTGTATGCGTAATGTTTCCGTTAATTATATCATTGAGGTAATAATTGTTATTACGATATATCACTGGTTTTGGCATCAGCCTAATATATCGGGATATTTACCAAGTACTGTTTTTTTAAAGGCTGACTGAACAGTATTAGTTCATTTCTGGCCACTCGTTATTTTCTGCAACAAATCGACTAATTGTGCCCTCTATTTCAAATGAAGTAATCTAGCATGTTGTGTTGTACTTCCTTTATTCATGAATGATTTAAAAAGGTTTCAGATGTGTAGTCATAATCTGACACTCACTATTAGCAAGTCTTGAACACTTTCGGAATATGAAATACAACTGAATAAATTGCCTGTGGAATTTATATCTCTCGAGAGTTCATGTCTACACCACTTACTTCATTTTGGTTGATTAGCTCATTTCACTAGTGGTGTGGTGGTGATTTACAGCCAAGTGTTCAACTCCGAATCGTTATCGTTTACGCCTTTGACTTACAGAAACGTGGTTGTTACTCGCTTTCTGAACCCAGATAATTAGTCATTTTTCTCTTGGAAAGCCTTGAAGTCACGTACTCTGAATATTCAGCTAACCTACTATTTTAAATTCATCTTAATCATGCTTTTGCAATAAGTTGGTAGTCAGTCCGAGAACCTATTGGAAATCATTTCAGTAGCTAAGTATCAAAGTGCAAAGTCGTGTACTTTCCAAGTCTTATTGACTGTCATCCACTCTGTGTTCTCTGGAATCCTGATCTTTTGAATTCCTCATCCTTTTTATCTTTTTCTTTTAAGTTTTATTTCTCCATTACTGCTAATACTTCTACTACATCTACTACTATAGAATCTGAATGGACAATTGCATCTCCGTATTAATGTGTTATGGCAACCTGAACCTATGTACGTACGTACAAAGTTCTACGTAGTAACTGACTGACTGACATTAGTAAAGATTTTCGGTCGTATTAGTTGAGAAGTAGTTTCTGAATTATAAATTTGCTGACACGGAAACATTTGGTGTATTGTGACAATTGGTGACTGTAATAAGTTGATGTAGAGCTTCTTTGACAATCCAAACAACCTATTTTCTTCTAAAAATGTTAAAGAGTTAACGTTAGCCTAACATCGCATACAATGATTTGTATAAGAACTATTTACATGTGTTTGCATATGTTAAAATCCAAAACATATAAGAGCTTGTTATGTATATAAAATATTTTCTAAGTCATGATTGGGTCTGATCGTGTTTCGAGTTGCTTTATGTATTTCGGTTTTAAAAAGCTTCTTCTAGACATCGATCATTTAGGGAAACATCACTTGCGTAGATCGAATCGTTATCTACACTTGAATTCTGTTATGAATTCTGTTTTAAAACCAAAGTTCTCATTGAGGAGTTGATATAATATTCTTTTCATGTAATAACAAAAAGGAAATAAGATATGGTAAAGTATTGTAAGCGTTATTATATGAACTTTTCGATCGTATTTATCTAAATGAATTGACGTTGTAGATGCGATTCGATGGGTGATTTTCAAATCTTAATGCCTAAAAATAATAAAAAAAAAACAAGATAAAAAACAATCTCACAGTGTTTACTGATAACCGTGTGCCGCAACTATGCTAAGATAACCGTCTATTTCTGACAAACACTTATCTTGGGAGTCTCATCAGCGCTGATGGCCTGATGACTGACGAAATCTCAGCTCGAATACAGAAGGCTCGATTGGCTTTTGCCAACCTGCGAGATATCCGTTTGCTGACTAAAGGACGAGTGTACTGTGCAGCAGTTCGCTCCGTCCTACTGTACGGGTGCGAGACTTGGCCGTTAAGAGTAGAGGACATTCGTAGGTTACTAGTCTTCGATCATCGATGTCTCCGAGGCATTGCTCGTGTATCATGGGACAACCGTATAAGCCATGCTGCCATTAGGAAACGAGTTATAGGTAGGAATGGCAAATCAATAGATGAAGTAGTGAAACTTTATCAGTTGAGGTGGTTGGGAAATGTGTTACGTATGGCGAACCACCGACTGTGCTAATGTGGTATGGCAACCTGAACTGATGTACTTCCGTACGAAGTTCTGCTTTGTGTCTGTCTGTCTGACAAACACCAGCCTTAAATATATGGAAAAGCATCACTTGACTTTGCGACCTCCACAAAAGACCACGTTAGTATCAGCCATGATTGGAGAGGTTCAACAGGAGACTTCCGCTCATTCTAGAGCACATGTTTATACTCATATCATGCTCTAGTGCAATTACGTATTATTCTGCATGTTATTGGCACAAAAAAGCCACAGCAAGGATCCCCTTCAGAGTTCATCGGAATGATAAAAAATTCCAAGAATGCATTTCAGGAACAACTGAAGAAACCAGCTGGTCAGCCATTTAACTGATCACTACTCTTTAACAACTTGGAGTAATATTCAAGAGCTGATATCAACCAGTAGATTAAACCAAACGGTTAAGAAAAATCAGTATATTTTAGCTGTATCTACTTTACTTATATGTGCTCAAAAACTCATTGACTGCTGACATTATGTTTTTTGGCAAATAATTTTAGTAATTTACTGCTTCATAAAAGAAGCGAAACTCTAGACGTAGATGACTTGACCTCAACTTGAGATTTTTTAGAAAATTCTCTCAGTCATTCCTAGATGAAAAGAAAAAGATGACACATCATAGTTATTACTATTCACAGACAGTTTATTCATACAAAAATGTTGTAAAGAAACTATTTCACAGTTCAATAATGTTTACATTCTTCATAATTTGACATGTTCTATTATGTAAAGGTAAATATTAAGTTGACTATACATAAATTAACTTTATAGTAAAGCTGTTACTCACACTTTGCACCATTTCGTTATAATTTGGAATTATAGTAAATTTCTAAGAAGATAGTAATAAGCATTCTAGTAGTAGTAGACTTGTCAGTTGTTAAAGAAAATTGTACTTTTTTAACCAATAAGAGAATAGCCAGTAGTTAATCGATAACTGGTTTAGCCAATAAGAAGATACAAGGAAAATGGATAAGAATGCATCATTATTGAGTAAATACAGTTTTATGGATTTTACTCTGTGTTAGACTTGTCATGTAAAGAATGTTACCTGAAAGCAACTTCTGGGATAGCCATCACCACCAATGGAGTCCACTTAGTCAATATATTTTCTTTTGTATGGTTGACGTCAAAGAGAAAATTTGCACTACGGGGTTGTGAAGATTGCTAAGTTACACATTTTTGAAACCATGAATCGATCAATGTTAGACCACCATTAGAAACCTGGAAACACTGAAAGACGGCCGTTTCGTCCTGGTATGGGACTCATCAGCATCCACCGTTAGATACTGGCTCAGTGGTCCGGGGGTTAAACGTTCGTACACAATACCGGATGTCCTGGGTTCGAATCCTGCGAGGTGCAGGAGTTGTGGATGCGCACTGCTGATGAGTCTAATACTAGGACGAAACGGCCGTCCAGTGCTTCCAGGTTTCTAATGTTGGTCTAACATTGATCGATTCATGGTTTCAAAAGAGAAACTTATCAATCCGATAGTGCTATTAAGAAATAATCCAGGTCAATAGTCTTGCATAGTGTAGAGTGTTCTAAAGGACATGGTAACGCTAATATAATATCCTAATTACAGGTTATAGTCAATGAAGTGGAAAATTAATTTGCGTAGGTACAATTTAGTTGTACGCTAGTTTAGAAATTAAGCCAGTAGTTAATATGTTCGATACAAACAAACAATAGATATTAAATATAAATCATGATTTCTATCCGATTAAAGCCGGTAAATAAAACTCGCTTAAAGATGAACCAATTCTCATGCGTCAGTAACTCAACAGTGCATATGTTTGATGTTAGTAATACACCAGGTCACTTGGACACAGACCGAATGACAGGTTCTGATAGGTGTGCGTTATTGATCAAGGATTAACTTTACTTTCTATGGATACAGGCAGAGTAGATATCAGAACGGAACTGGGAGAACTGCTGATCGTAACAGTTAACATGGAAGCGTTCTGAATAATGAAACATACTGTCTGTTTAGTGAATGAAAACTTATGTGAAAAGTGCTATATATCGGTAATGTAGCGTTTGGAGTATCCATGTTTAAATTGGGAATGATTTCTGTATGATTAATTATGCCCAACTACCACATCAATACTAGTGAACGAACAGTGACACGAACCGATTTATTCAACAGTTATAGCAAATTCAATTCACTAGTACAACAATATTGGCGTAATGTCGATTACAAATGTCTAGATAACAAAAGTAAGAATTAATTTGATTCATATTGTCGTTGGGTATTGTCATTAATTCTAAACTTCAACCACTAGGTGTAAATTCCCAGATACAATGATAACGAACAAAGCCATATTAGAGAAATATCAGCGTTAGGAAACGGAATACTTGAACAATTAAACAAAACCAACAGTGTGAAGCCTGAATTTGATTGACGGATAAAATGTCATACAGTTTACAAACATTTCTAATGGTCGTCGACCTGTGATTTTAGGTAACTTATTTCCTTCAAAGACACTGACTGCCTTTCAACTCATATGCATGAATAGGCCATGCAGTGAACGAGAACACAGGTGGGGCAACCGAATTGTATTTAGCGAAATTACAGAGTTACTCAGTAATATTGGAAAACCATATCGTTAATCGTTAATTTGCAAAATATCAGTTCATCATATCGAACTGAACTGTTCCTGTTGCAAAACATCAATCCATTGTCAATACTATTCATGCGTTTCATACAAATTCCATTGTGTCCCCACTCTTCCTTTCTTGATCTTCCCCCATTTTCTGCTGCCAGACATTACGTTTACACTCACGTCATATACTACTTATAAGTAGCTCACACCACAGCCAGTTCAACTCATCCCTCTCACATAACTGTCCAACTTATTATTATGAGCAGTGGTGATATGCATTACAGCCTCACGATGACAATGACACTCGGGAATGTTGCAAGACAACCACCATTAGTATCAATGATATCGATTACCCTGCAATGATTAGAAAATAATTTGATACGATTTGCCTAGGGATACATTTAAAATCAAGTCATCACAGCGAACAAAGCAGCAGAATAACATAAATTCACTTATTTCGCAGGTTTAATCTCATGTGTTTACAATTCTGAAACCATCTTATAATTTTCAAAGTATTATAATGTACATGCTTTACGTGAGAAAGTATCCTCACTACAATTATGTTCAACATGTCGGTATCGATTAAGAAGAGATAATAGTTATGGGGGAATTACAAGTTGAATATGTGAACGTTCTAGCGGCATAACTAAGTAGAATATGAATAC